ATTAAATGTGTTTATAAGATATGAGTTTTTATAGTGTATGACTGGTGGGGTCATGTGTAGGCGATGGCTGGGAAATAGAGGTTTTATGTGAGTTAGAACATGTCTATTTCCTAGGGGGAGTCTGGAAAAATAAGGTTTTATGCGAGTTAGAACATGTCTTCTTCCAGGGACTCTGGCAGGGAACACCTTAGTGATTGGGTTGTTTCAGATGACCTAGTTATTGGTCATTGATGTGATGACATTCCAGGTGAGGGGATGTCATAAGGACCACGAGAAGTGATTCTGGTTGACAAGTACTTATGAGGCACGTTGCACAGTTAGTGCTCCAGGGAACAAGTGAGGTTTCATGCATAATCTTGAGGAGACATTGAGGTTCTCTCCAGGGAACAAGTGAGGTTTCCTGCATATATCTTGAGGGACAAGGGTCTCTCCAGAGGACAAGTGAGGTCTCTTGCATGCCGATATCTTGACGGACTTTGTGTCCCGAGAGTGGGAGGGGCGTGGAGCATACCGATAGCCTGATGGACGGCGGTCCTGAAGGTGAAAGGGGTATGTTTTACACCGAGAGCTCTAGGATGACGACCCTGAGAGTGTGAGGGTTGTATATGTATATGGGTATGAGCATAGCGTCTGTGATGTAATTATAAGTATGAGACTGGATGAGCTTCGGGGATCGAAAGGGATCTCAGGTGGTGTTGGCCGGGTGGGTCAGGAGTGTTGATGTGGATGTGGCATCTAGTCTAGGGTTTTTACTTGCGTTTGGAACCTCGGTTCAGACGACCCTGGTAAACATATGTAGCGTCTTGGTCGGGCATGTTCTTGTTTGATTGTTGCATGATCAATTGATCTAATTCTGGGTCTACGGTTGGTCGGGCATGTTCTTGTTTGATTGTTGTGCGATCAATCAGGCTGACCTAGTCTGGATCAGAAAACGTTGCATTCTGGGTGTTTTCGGGCGAAACTGGTCGGGTTTCGGACAAGAGTGTTAACCTTAGGGGGACGGTGTTGTGTGATTCGAGGTCGAATCTGTGTTAGTGGGGAGAATTGTAATGCCCGTGAACCAAAAAGTGGATTTTTGGTTGGTGTGTCGATCGACACACGTGTTCTGATTTGCGAGAAGTCGTGTTCTGGGCGT